GGGGGGGGCGTTGCTGGCGTGCCAAGGGACCACAAACCAGGCACACAATTTCTTGCTTTCTGTCTTTGGCGAATGATCGGCGACCGCATCCCCTTGCTTTGCTGGGGAGAAAAGGGGGCCAGCCCACCCACCCCATACTCCCCCAGCCAGGATCACTGGAGGGGTCTCTTCCCCCTCCCTCTCCCCCCCCTCCCCTCCAGCTTCCTCCCAACTGGGCAACTGTGAAGTTAATCCCTTGGAAGGAAGGCAATTAAATCCCTAAGCAAGTCCATTAATTGCACAGCAGGGGAGCAAATTCCCTTGATTGAATTGGGGGTGGGGTGGGGAGGAGAGAGAGAGAGAGAGACTGAGAAGGGTGGGGGAGGGTATCATTAGAGTGCTAAAGGAAGAGGCTGAGGGGGGGGCATCTTAGGGAGAAGGAAGGCCGAGGAGGGTATTTCTTAGCACCCCAAAATGCTCTTCCCATTTTCCTCCTGCATGAGGCAGTTGGGGTCTTTGGGCCCACCCTGAGTGCCCCTCCCCAATGCTTGCAAACCTCCCTTGCTTGTGGGGCTTCATTGACCCCTTTATCTTTCTCACAAGTATGCTGGGATGGAGCAGAGTTCAAATCCCTCAGGTCAGGGGTCTCCAACCTTGGCCACTTTAAGACTTGGGGACTTCAACTCCCAGAATTTCTGAGAGTTAAAGTCCACAAGTCTTAAAGTGGCCAAGGTTGGCTGAGGAATTCTGGGAGTTGAAGTCCACAAGTCTTAAAGTGGCCAAGGTTGGAGACCCCTGCTTTTGGTCTACAAAATGTCTGAGACTACCCTGCAGGGTTGTGGTTGAGGTTGCAGGCAGCTCTCTGTGCAACCGGCTCTTGGAGTGGCGTGGGGGCGTGACAGGCTCAATCCTGACGGTGTGTTTGTCACTGCTGACGCAGGAGATGCTCAGACCACCCCGGCGTCTTCCGGGATCTTCTCCCAGGCGCCCCCGGGCTCTCCCTCCGCTAGCTTGACTCCCGGCGCCCACCCAGCCCCTGGTGTGGGGGACCCCCGTTTCACCCTCCACGTGGCTGTGAGCACGCAGGGTAAGGAGGTGCTCCTCTTCCCCCCACCCCAAATAATGCTTGCCCGCACGAGTACACTAACTTGAAGCAGGCGGAAATATCTAACCCACGACCTGGAACGTCGGGGCATGCGAGCAAGTGAAGGCTGTGCACCGTTGGACCTGCGCACTGCATGTGCCATGGGGAGGAGGGGGGTCTCCCAGAGGTGCCCTCTGACCTCTCTGAAAGCACAGGGGACAGTGGGGGGGAATTGTGAGATGCCCCTGCCTGCAAAGGAAGAACCCAGCCTGGTGCTGTTTCACACCCGCTAAGCAGAGAAAACCTGCACAGCCAAACACCACCCAGGTCCTTTTTCTCTCTTGTTGGGACTACAGACCCCCCCCTCCACTGCTAGCTAGACTAAGAATCAAAGCCATTGGGGGCTGTAATCCAAAGCCATTGTTAGGTGGAATGGGTTTTTTTGCTGTCCTCACCAGAAAGCCTGAATATTCAAATTTTAGGGGCTGAATTTTTCCCCTGTAAACCAGCCAACATTGTGGCTTCCTGTTGCGATTGCTTATCGTCTGCATTCGCTTCCCATTGTGGTGACTTCAGCGTGGTCCGTATTTTGCTCCAGCCAGAGTCTTCCTGTGTTGCTTTGCAAAATTTCCCTCGCCAGCCACGAAGCTAGGAGGTTTGGGTTGGCGGTGGGCAGGTGGCCAACTTTCCCTACCTCTTTGGGGTTATCGTTTCCACCCTCCTCCGCTGTTTAGGATGGGTATGTTCTCGGAATAGGACCTGACACATCTCGAGGGTGGTTGGGGGTTGTAGCGTGTTGTGGTGAAACCGTCTGCAGGTGTTTTGCACTGACCGAAAAACTTGCAACCTCATTCTCCACAAACTGAGCCATTGTGCACAGTTTGTGCAGTGGAAATTTGCTGCTTTAGACGCGCTTGGGGGAAAAAAAATATGCCCCAGACGTTGCTTTGTCTAGAAACTAGGGGAAGCTGTGGCAAGCAAGATAAAACTGGTGGGTTTCTTTTTTTTTTCCTTCCTGATCTCCAGCTCTCTCACCTCCGCCCCAAACTCTGATTATTTTTTTTTAAAAAAAGCCCTTTTATTACCTCGCAAAGGAGGCGATAAAACATTCAGCGATTGATAAAACGTCTGCAGAGTTGGCACCAAACTTTGCAAGCTACTAATTTTTTTTCTGGTCTGGAGCGCAAGAGAAAAGCCACTGCCAAAAAAAATTGAGAATGGAAAATTATCTCTTCCTCACCACCACCAAAAAAAATCCCCCAAAACACACACACACACACACACACACACACACAGTCTTGAAAAAGCTTTGTGAAAAAATTCTGGCTGAATGAAAATGCATTTAACAGCTGAAACTTTTAAAAAGCGAAATTGCTTCTCTTTGCGTTTTGACGGCGTCCAGATTTATGGGGCTACAGTTCTAATTTCCAAGGATCCGATTTCCAGGGCTAAAACATTTTCCTGAACTTTTTTATATACATAAATTTTTAAAAAGTCAAACTTAACCCATCGGGTCCGTGGAGAACGGAGGCACAGGGCAGATTCCTATCCATATCGGAAGTGTCCCGAAAGTTCAATTGGAAAAAGAAAACATTTCTAAAACTCTTGAAAAACAAAAACACCCCCAGAAAGCGACTTTCCAGACAGATTGTGGAAATGTTTGCAGTTTGCTGGAAATCTGAGTGGGTTCCAAGTCTTGGTTGCAAACGGGGGAGGAAAAACAAAATAAAACAAGACAGCAGGGCCCTTGTTAGGAAATGTGTGAGTTGGAAAAGGCACAGATGACCCACAAAGAAGGAGCTTTTTTCCCCCACTGCGTTTCCAGTTCATAGTTCCTCTTTCCTCCCCACCCTGTGAGATCCTAAGGCATCTTTCTGGATGCCAACCAGCCACTCAGGGGCCTGCAGGGCTGTGGGGCTGGTGGTCTCTGGCTTCACTGATCTGGTGTCACATTTGCACACTTACACACAAAGAGATCCATCCATTCTTCCTCCCTCCCAACATTTCTCCTTTTCCTGGTGCTTTTGGCCCCTTCCTCCGTTTTCCTACTTGTCTCCCACTCACCGTCTCGGCCCCCCTCCCCAAATACTACCCTTCCCTCCGTTGTTAATTCCTTTTCCACATTGGCAAACCAGCCACACGCCACCTTGGAGGCAAAGCAGCTCAACCTCTTTTAATTGAAAACACGTGCACACACACACACATAAACCCCCACTCTCGCCAACGCTTTTACGCAGCGTTTCTGGCACACTCCCTCTTGCACATGAGCTGTCTGTGCAAGCTTTGTACACCACTGGCTGCGTTCACACGATGCATTTAACCTCCTTGCTGAACTCACCCGTTTTCTGGGTTCATCTCTTTAGCCGTCCAAATGGGTTGGAATTTTGCCAGCACACCCAAGTCACGAATAAAACAAACCAGGGTTAACTTTAGCCAGGTTTCGTGTGCTGTATGAATGCGATCCCTACGTCTTTCTGTTTTGCTGATCATCCTGCGAATACAGCGGTGGGTTTTTGTATCTACTGTACCGTTACTCTTGTTTTTAATCTGGGGGGGGGGGGGCGTTCAGAAAGCAGAGAGAAAGAAACGTAAGTGATAAACATGATTTTAAGTCGGTGGGTTTGGTCCTTAAAGGTACAGCTGGCAATTCCTAGACTGCTGTGGGAGGTTCAGGGGAAAGAAACAGGGAAGCAAAATATTCTATTTTTCCTCCCTCTAAAAATCGATATAACCAAATTAGCGATGCAGGAATGACATTTGCGTTCAGTCGCTCGATCTTTCCCTGGGAGGAGAGGGAGCGGGTGACGTCAGCCGGTTTAATTTTCCACCCGGGGAACAGCGAAAATCAAGATATTCTCCCCCCACCCAGCCCCCACCCCATGAAACAGGATTACATTATTCTGGGTCATTACAACCGTGGCATAAATGAAGGCTCTGTTGCCCTGTTTGGCTGCCTTTAATTGAATCTCCATATTATGTAATTGTACCATTTGCACAATTTAAAAGAAGCGAGCTCATTAAACTCGGTTGTGCTTTTAAAGGGGGGGGTGGGGGGAGAAAACTGCCTCTGTAAGGTATTTTTAATCAGCAGCGGAGTTTTTTCACCGTTGCGCCTTCCCTGAAAAGGTGCAGCCCGTTTTTATCCTTCTGGGGGTGAATTTCGCCCTGGTTTTGGGAACAGGGAGTTCTTGACAAGCCAGGGGTTTCCGTTCCCCTTTGTGAGCCACCCAGGTTTTAGGCTGGACCAACCCTCTACCTTGCACTGGGTGTGTAAACACGCCTGTGCACACACCCACACGCCCCCGTTGCAAGGTTCTGCCTTCCTGCCCTGGTGCTGGTCCTTGGCACCTCTGGATGGATCCAGAGGTGGTTCTTGGTGTGCTCTGGGCAACCCAGGAGGTTGAACCTTTGCAAGGACTGTCCAAGCCAACATTGGCTTGCTTTCTTGGGGGTGAAGCCCGATGGCTGCCTTCCCGAGCATCCTGGCCCCCCCGAGAAAGTTTTGAGGCGCAGCAATGCCCTGGGGGTGTGTGTGTGGGGGGGAGAATTAGTGGGTCGTCTTCCTGCACCATCTCAGTTCCCTGTTTCTCCTGCTGCATCTCGGGAGCCTTTACACCAGCTCGCTCCGTCCTACTAACACCTCCACCTCATTGCCATCCCTGGTCCTCCGTTTGATCCTTCCCCGCCGGGGTCCCTGCGGGCACGGAAAAGCAGCTGCGCCCCAGGAATGTTGGGGTGGGAGTGGGGACCCCCCCCTGCATGGCTTGGGAAGGCCTGGAGACCTTGGCTCAGCTGGGACGGAGACCCGGTGGGGCGTTTGGTCTTCGTGGGGAGGGAGCCTCGCGCCTGACCCCCCGTTTCTTCTCTCCCCGCTGGCTGCGGGTTCAGGTGTGAGGCAGGAGTCGGAGGCGAAGGAGAGCGCCAAGTCAGTCCACTTCACCTTCCTGATCGGCTGCGTCTTCGTGGCTTTCCTCTTGGGGGCCTTCCTCTCCGGCCTGCTCGTCTCCTGCTATTGCAGCCACAGCCTGCAGCGCGCCAAGCACCCCGGCAAGGACCCTGAGAATGGCCTCCAGCGCCCGCTATCCCTGCGCAGCCTGGCCAAGATGAACGCCCTGCTGGAAGGCGGCCAGGCCAAGGACGGGCTGATGGAGACGGCCGCCCCTCAGCTCTATACCACCCTCCTGCCCAGCGAGAAGGAGCTGCCCAGCGCCCCGGCCAAGCCTGGCGTCCGAGAGCACCCCGAGCTGTCCGCCTTGCCCACCCCGGAGTCCACGCCCGAGCTGCCCGTCAAGAACATGAAGGCCATCCGGAACCAGTGGGAGAAAAACCAGAACTTCAACAACGCCAAGGATGCCCAGGGGAGGCCCTTCCATGCCCCCGTGCCCAACGCCTTCTCCTTCCCCGGCCCGGGAGGGGTCCCCGGGCCCCTGCACGGCTACGACACCCCGCTGGGGGGCTACCTGGACGAGAAGAAGATCTCCAACTCGGAGCGGGTGCTGGTGCGTCCCTCCCCGCCGCCCAAAGGCATGGAGGTCACCACCCTGGAAGAGCTGTTGAAACACCTCCACGGGGCGGGGGCCTCCGTGCCTGCCGCCTTCCCGCCTTCGGCCGTGGCTTTTGCCAACCGGGTGCAGCCGAAGGTGCCCAACCTGGAGGGCGCCCCCTATTACAACACCTCCACGCTGCCTCGGCGGCTGGACATCCCTCCGGACGCTCCGCTGCCCTTGGGCCTGGACAAAGGAGGCGGGCGCTCCGTCGCCCACAGACATTCCCTCTGTGGCGCCCCGAAGCTGGTGAACGTGGGTGGGGGCGGCAGCGGCGGGGGGCTGCTGATGCGCCAACACAGCCTGGGCCAGGCGGGGAGGCTGCCCCCAGCCCTCCTGACCCGCATGCACTCCACGGGGAGCTCCGTGCCCCAAGAGGGCCACCACCACGCCATCTTCCTGGCCAGGCAGCACAGCTACGGCGACCAGGGGCCACTGCCCAGCCACGGGGGTGGCATCCGGCGGTCCGTCTCGCTGATCAAGCCGGGCATGACCACACAGGCTCTCTTCCAGCCTTCCTCTCCGCCCGCCCAGCCCTCCGGCCCTTTCCACTATTGAGCCCCACGGAAGGAGAAGCATGCGTGTGTGTGTCTCTCGAACCCAGAGCCGGCCGCTCTGAGAAGGTCCCCTTCGGCCACGTCCACCCGCAGGGATTAACAACCCGAGTGTGCCTTGTGTAAGGGAAGGTCCCGCGCAGGTGGCACCGGTGGGGCTCGGCTGGACGGACACCTGCTTCCTTCTCTCTTCCCGCGAGATGCTTCCAGAAGCTTCCTCGGCCTCCGGGGGCCCCAAAGGGCCCCCAAAGTAGCAAAGCTGGCCGTTCCTGCCTACCTCACGGGTGAGGCCTCGAAGGCGGATGCCTCGGCAGGGCCCACCCTCACCCATTCCTTATGCAAGAAATCTCCACCGAGGATGCCCGTCCCGGCTCGCTCGCGCCCTTCCAACAGGCACCAAAGGCTGCTTCCCAAGGCTGGCAAAATGCTTGGGCCCAGATCCTCCGGGAGAGCAGAGACCCATTCGAGCAACCAGCCAGGAATGGGGGGGTCCCTGGGGGCCCCTTCCTCCTCCTCCCCTCCACCACGGCCAACCTGCAAACGGTCATGGTTCGATTCCGCCACGTGGCCGAAGGACTCCAAACTCAAGGTTCACATTTTGCAAAAACTTGAAACGTTCAACGGGTGGATTTCACCCGGTGGAGCGAAAGGGGAGGGAGGGAACGGGAGGGGTCCCAGGGCAGGTTTCGGGGGGGGGGCTCATCCTTTTCAAACGGGGGTGGCTGGGTGTGTCCCTGTGTGCAGCCGGCTAGAGAGCGTTGGGCATTTCCAGAGACCAAACAGGCTGTCCCAATCGGGAGTGCGATGCTCAAAGGACTCCGGATGATCTGAACTCGGGTCAGGCTGGACCTCCTGCCCCTTTTACGGGGTTAAAGAACCGTGTTTGCTTCGTGGGGAGGGGGTGCGTGCAAAGGTGGCTCCCCCCCACAGCCCGTTTTTGTAGCACTTTTGGTATTCGTGTGTGTGTTTTTCTCCCAAAAGGGCAGATCACAGCAGCTCCTGTTGCTTGGATGGCCTTTTGACAAATGAGCCTCGGCCGGACTTGAACTCGCAGCCCTTCCCTCCGGGGAGGGAACAACTTCAGGGTCCTCTCTGGGCCCCCAAGCAGCCCCTCCTGGCCGGCGTTCTTCCTTGTAACCAATTTTGACCTCTCTCTTTTTTTCCCCTAAAGTCTCCCCGCTTCCATTTGGGGGTCGAGAGACTCCGATGAAGATCAAATTATATCTACCTGGGGGGGGCGGGGGGTGTCCCCAAATTTTCTTCTCAAGTTACCCCACCCCACCCTTCAATCGGGCAGAATTTTTGCATGTGGGCCGGCCTGGTTCATCCTGCTCACCTACGCCTCGATTTCTTGGCTGGCTTGAGATTGGAAGCCCCAGCTTGTCAGACTCAGCCTGCACAAGGAGCTAGCCCACAAAGAGGTTTGTAAACTCATCTCCAAGACGGTGTCCCCATGAACAATGAAAATGATGTACCGGTGTTTTCCCACAGGCTCCAAAATCAGAGAGGAGCTTTTCCATAGCGGTGGCTTGCAAAACAGAAGGGGAAAAAAATATGCCTCCTTAAAATAAAATTAAAATAAAATTGTAAAACCAGAGGGGGCGGGGGGGGGGGGGTTTAAATTCTTTTGAGGGTGTTCTGGCAAACCTGCCCCCCCCCAAATTGGGGGGGGGGGGGGGTGACCCAAGGGGAGGAAGGGAGAATCTGTAAACCCATTTTTTTAAAAAAAGAATATTTTGCAAAGTGCCATCCGGAGAAACGCACCGAGGGCTGGAAAGCCGTTTTCTGGTTTGTTTTTTAATCACGTGGGCAGGATATTTGGGGGGGGGGGGGGGGGGGGGGGGGGGTTGGAGCGTGTGTGTGGAAAGTTCTTCCTTGCAGCACTTTTATTTTCTAAAAAAAAATGTACATAAAGTATTAATATATGTGTATATTTCATTGTTTTAACTTCGTATAAGAGAAGTAAAAAAATAATAATAATGGAAAACTGGCACCGAATTCGGTCCCAACAAAGGCTGAATAATTAAAACCGGGTTTGAATTCGCCCCGTTCAGAACAGAGACCCAGCAGGGACGTTTGCAGCCTGCACAGGCCCACACTGGTGTGTTTGTGTGTGTGTGTTTGTGTGGAGCCTGATGGGCGTGCTTGAAGACGAGTGTGTCTACACAATGGGCGTTCCCAGAGCCCTGTTTAGCGTCCATGCACCATTACGACAAGGATGAAGAAGCCCCTGGGCTCCCGATCCTGGCTCTGATGCTACTTCTCAACTCGGTCAAGCGAAGGAAAGTTGGAAGTTTCGCCAAGTGACCGCTTCGCTTCATGACCGAGTTATCGGTCTCAATTGTGGTCGCTAAAAGAGGACGGCCTGTCCTCTGGACAACAAGGGTATATGGAGGCTCCAAACTTTCTTTTCAAATGCAACTGGTCACTCAGGACTGACTTCTAAGGTAGACTGTCCCTGCGTGTGGGGCTCTTCCTGACTTCTTCAGTGCAGCGGTCCGTCTAGATGACCACAGGAGTGTTCCTAAAAAGCAATAATATTTCCGCTCCCCCCAGGTTGCGTTTCCTACCATCAAGAACTGATTCCTTTCTTCTGGGGTGGGGCTGGTGGGGGGGGGTAGGGATATCTGTCTCCCTCCATCACCTCCTTCCACAGGGAGGTGGGGCCTGGAGCACCCCCGGCCCATTATCCCCCATCCAGTATAAAATCCTCGTGCTCTAAGGGACCTTGTAGGTCGTCTAGCCCAACCCCCTGCTAAGCCAGCATCGTGGTGACACTCTTGTTGGCCTTTTGGATTCCTGATCGAATTTCCTCCCCGCCACAATCTGGAGGAAGACCAGTCCAGTCCAAGGGATTTATCTGGACTACAATTCCCATCCCACACGGTCGGGCCAGAACGTCTGGAGCTTAATTTGCTGATCCTGAACGGATTCTCTCCAACTAAGTTGGCTTACAACTCCAGGAAGGAAGTTTCCAGGTTGAGGGGAGGGGGGGGGCTCTCCCTAGGCAAAGGTTTCTCCCTCCCTTCCAGCTTCCCCGAACATCTGGCAGCCTTCCGGGCCTTTGCTCGCCACCCTTCCTGCCTCTGCAGCACATCTGGCCACTTCTGTCCACCTCCCCATCACGCTTGGCCCACTGGGAGAATAAAATGGTGGATTGCTAAAGCAGACAGTCCCTCCTTCCCCCCCCCTGCCTCCTGTCTCTTACTCCTTGCTTCCTCTTAACGGACACCCCCCTCCCCAAATTGGGCAGGTGGCTGAGGAGAGGAAACAGCCCCCTACCCCCCACCCCCACCCCAAAAGAAACACCTGAGCTGTGCCAGAAATGAGCTCATGGTTTTAATTTGGACTTTTGCAAACGGCGGTTAGAGCAACCCCAGAGCTCGGTTGGCTTTGCCGTCTTCCAAAGGGGAGGAAATTGGGGTGTCCTTCAGTGGGTTGGCTGCGAGGGCCCTGCCCCATCCCGTTCCCCAGCTTTTGGGAGTTGTAGTCCGGCAGTGCACGATGGGGACTGTCTTCCCAAGGGAGACAGACAGGCTAAGAGAAGCTAAGAGAAGCAAGAGCCGATCCGTAGCCAAGGCAGCTGTTTAAACCATTTCTATTCAGACAACGCCAGAGGTGCAGCACAGCTGGTGAAGCCATTGAGGGCTCAGAGATGGTTGTGTAGAAAAGGGAAGGATAGTCGCCTGCGACTCTTGCGCCCATCATCCACACCCCAACTTTCCCAACCTTGCCACACGCTCACCAGATCCCCAACGTCGCCTTTTCTCCTATGAAGTCTGGACAACTTCCCTTCGCAGACCCCTCAAAAACAGCAGCCGGGACACACAACGCTGAATCCACATCTGGAGAGGAGAAAAAAGGGTTTTTTTGCCCAAACTGGTGGGTTTTGCAGAAAATTCCCTAATAGAATTTTTCCTTGCTGGGCGATTAGTCTCCTCTTCTCTTCTTCAATGGGTTGCAGCGCAAAAGGAAGTTTAGATTCAATTTCCAAAGCCTGGACATGAAATCTAAAGGCTGGAGGGGGGAGGGGAATGACAAACACACACACACACACACACACACACACACACACACACACACACACAGCTTCTTTGCTGGCTGGTGTTAAACATCAGCATTCAGTTTTCGCTGCTCTTCGGAATTAATACGGCCAAAACTTCCTGCGAAACTGGGAAGACAGTCCCAAGTTAGACCTCTGTGTGTGTGTGTATGCGCGAAGTTGCCAGATGTTTCTCCCTCCTCTATGCCAAGAGGCCTACAGATGTGGTGGATGACTGGGGAGCTTGCCCGTCGGGGCTGGGCAGAGGGAGGCGAAGGGAGCAAGGAAGCCATTTCTGAGAATTTCCCTGCCTTCCTGCCCTTGTATTGGTGGTAAGCAGCAAAGGAGGAGAAGAGTTACGGAGCGGTTCTTGCTACACAACATCTGGCCAGCTCCTGTAAGCAGGATGCTGGATTGCAGGGGGGGGGGGCTGCCCTGTGCAAAAGTCGGAGAGCCTCTGAGCTCAGGGGCAGTCTACCTTTGTGGGTGCAACAAAAGGAAGAGCCAGGAATTTGGGGGTGAGGTTCCTTAATCCTCCAGCCGACGCCCCTCTCCTTCCTTCCATTTCATGGATTCTGGGGCCAAGTTTGGGGGTGCCATGTATTTGGAGATGATAAATTTCATAGCTTCACTGGTTTCTTAGAAGGGAAGGGAAGGCCGCCACCAAACAACTCTCTTTAAAAATCCCTTGAAAAGGGTCTTTGCAGCTTTAATTGTGCATCCAATTTTTTTAAAAAACAAGGATTTGAGCGAGAAGCACTTTTTGCCGAATTAAAAAACAACAACCGCCAGGAAATCGGGGGTCCCTTTCCTTCTCCCTCAATGGCTGAGAAATCTGGGCATCCGCCAAAGCGGCAAACCTGGCCTGGCAGTGCCACCTGGCGGCCCCTTGTGTGTCGCACACTTCCCTGGCACCAGCAGGCTCCCTTGGAGAGTCTACCCGGGTCTGGGGTCTTCCAGCTGCTTGGCTCCGCTCTCAGGAAGACCCCCGAAGGATGCAAATTCGGAAGAGGGGCTGGCCTTGGCCACACAGGGTCCCATTTTCTTGCGACCGGCCTTGGCTCAAAGATGCACCAACCCAGGTCGGTCATAAAACAACAACAACCAAACCAGGATGACTAAACCAGGTTTGTTTTCTGCTAAATGGCTTGGATTTTTTGAGACCCGCAAACGCAGTTCTCTCTCTTTCTCTGCAAAAGGAAAACATCACACTAGGAATCTCGCTCCTTCAGACTTTGAGAAGCTTCTGGAGGTTTTTGTGACCTGCAATCAATGGATTGGAGGCCAAAATCCCACCAAACTTTAGCCTCTTTTTGGGGGGGGGGGAGTGGGGGGGCAGATTGCCAACCCCCTTTCTTGATCTGCTCTGAATTCACCCTCCTGTGCCCAAGAAGGCCACACCAAGGTTTGAAAACCGTGTTGTGCGTATGGTTGGGCGAGGCGTGTCCGCTTGAACGCTGCAATCGTGGTTTGTTAATCCAGGGTTAGGGTTTGGCCATCGTTGGCTTCTGGGGGGCGGGGGCAGCTCAGAGCAAGGCCGGCTGCTGTTCTTCCCTCGCCCCAAAAGTTTAGCCTCGGATGGGGAGCTGCAACGTTTCCGGCATCCTCCTGTCTGGTCCAGAGTTTGCTCGTCATCTCCATAGCAACTGGTTGCCCCTGGCAACAGCTTTGAAGCATCTTGGGTGCTTTGGCCAGGGATGCGTGGGCACCGGAGGAAGCAGCCCCCACCCCCGGAAAAGAGGGAGACCTTTGCCCTCCCCAGCCCCAGCCCCACCTGGGACCAATTCCGCTGCTCCCTGCCTTCGTATGCTGCTGTCCATCAGTGAGGAAGATGCGGGAAGCCGCCGGCAACGGCTCGTGTGCTAATCCCACCCAGCCTTGATTCCCCGGAACGGCTGGGCGAAGAAGGGGGCCGTCTACCTGGCTGGCGGCAATGCATTGCTAAAGGTTGGCTCAGCTTTCCTCCAGGTGAGACCTTTTCATTTCAGGGGGACTGAATTGGAGTTGCCGGCACTCGAACGGCGCAGGTCATAGGGTGGGATGGTTTGACGGGAAGGGTCCCGTGTCAGTGACAGCTGTGGGGGGCTGCCCCCACCCGCCACCTCTTCTCCCCCAGCCTTAAAAATGCCCTCCTGCTTGCAGCTGAAGGTTGTATTCTTAACATGCTCCTTGTTCAGCCCTTCTGCAAGGGGATTTTTTAAATTTTAGAGTAGCGTTGAACAAGCTTTAAAATAAAGTGTTTTCCCCTGGAGAGAGGAGAGGTCAAGAAAGCAACCTAAGACCCCTCCCCAAACTCTCACCCTCCTCGCTGGGCTGGGGGGTCAAAGCACCCAAAACGGGTTCAAATGCCCCGTCAGTCAGTATTGCAATGAAAGGGCATTTTTTAAAAAATAAATTTTTATTGTGTTTTTCCACCAATACAGTTCAAATCATATTCACATTTCCAACAGCATTTTGACATCTGCAAGTATTGTCATCTTGTAAGTCCTAATACATTTAATATACATCCACCAATAATTCTTTATAATTAGTTCTATCTTATAGATTTTATATATCTGCATATCATTTTCTTGAGGTCTCTTATAATTAATCTCCTCTTCTTATGTCTGTTCTCTGAATAGTACTCAGAGTCGTCCTTCTCTTCCATTTTTAATGTAAGCACGTCCATTTCCGCACATCCCATCGTTTTGTGTAGGACCAAATCCCCCGTGGGAGTGTCGGGTCCTTTCCGTATTTGTGCGAAAGCTATTCTGGCTGCTGTTAGAGTATGTAAGATAATAGATTTTATTTCTTTTGATCTTTAATTATTCCTAATAGGAAGAGTTCTGGTTTAGGTTCAGTCTGATGTCCTGTAATTTCCTGCATCCAATTTTTAATTTTCGTCCAATAGGTCCCAGTCTCGGGGCATAACCACCACATACGATAGAAGGTACCATCAGCTTGTTGGCATTTCCAACATTTTGGGCTAGTATTAGGGTATATCTCAGCCAGATGCCACCGGTGAAGGGCATGAAAGGCTCCCAGGTGAGGGAAAAGACCCCACCTTGCACCCATTTGTTAAAATTTCTTTCTTACATTTGCCGCCTGTCTGGCTGTGGACTCCTCTCGGGCTCTTCACCTGCGGCAGAGAGACACACCCACACCCACACCCACACTGCTAATGGGGTCTTTGTCCCCTTTCCAGGCGGTGCTGCGGACCCAGCCGGCCACTCGCTTGGGCGCCAGTCCTCATGGCCACCAGCCTGGGCAGCTCCCTGCCCGCCCTGGCCAGCGCCCTCCGGCCTGACCCCACCCTCTCCCTGGAGCAGAAGGCAACCTTCCTCTTCCTCTTCTTCCTCTTCGTCTTCCTGGCGGTGCTGATTGTCCGTTGCTTCCGGATCCTCCTGGACCCCTACCGGAGTATGCCTCCCTCCACCTGGACCGATTACGTGGAGAAAGACACCCTGGACTACCGCCTGGCCTGAAACCGGGTTGGAGATGGCCAGCCCAAGCCGGCTTGGGGCGGCTGCCTCGGTGGAACCTCCGTGCGCGGGGGCAGTCTACCTGCTCGGGCCTGGCGGAGACCTGAGGTTCCGCCCACCCTGGTTTGAGCTCGGGGCAAAGTTTTCACAGCTTCGTTCTGTGGCTTTGGAAGGAAAAGGGGGCAGGTAATCCTCGGCCCCTGACTAACCAGGCACCTGCCCCGCCCAAAGCAGGCCGAGGGGGAAGAGAGGCCGCACTTGGCAGGAACGAAAGTCTCAAGCTCTAAAAGGGCCTTTGCGTTTCCTAAACAAAAACACCCCCGTGCGTAAAGCCGTTTGAAAAGCAGAATTTATTGGATGCCCGGGGAATCTTTTACTTGACCTAAAAGAGGAGGGCGGCACTCACGGCTGGCATTGTGGGGAAACGCACCCCGTGCCGAGTCCTGCCCCGTTAAGGACCCGTAAGGCACTACTTTTCATTCGGAGCCCTTGGTGCAAAGGTGGACAGGGGGTCTCCTTGGAGAATATCGCCTGCTTCAAATAAAAGAGGGCTGGTTTTCCACAGCGGCTGCCTCGCGACTTCAGGCTCCCTTCCTCCCTCCTTGCTGGCACACTCGCAATCCTAACTGGGCGGCCTTGGACGTGTGCAGGGATCCCGGTCTGGACTTCAACTCCCAGAATCCCCCACGATTCAACCCACAGGTCTTAAAAGCTGCCAAACCCCGAGTCAGATGGAGGCAGAGCCCCCACCCCTGCTCCTGCGCCCCTCTACGCTGGGGTTGGGTTCTTCAGATGTGACTGCACCACGATGGCCCAGCCCTGCTTAACTCAGTCAACAAAGCAGTGGGCAGGCCACAAACGCCGCGTTCCTAGAAGCCAGCAAACAAGGTTTGTTGAGAAGAGTGGTCCGTCTAACACAACAGCATGATGGCTTAAGCTGAGGGCCGTTTGCAAACAGGGGGGGGCCGTCCTGAGATTCCCTCCTTTTGCAATTTTGCAAGCTTTTTTTTAGGATTTGGGGTAGATGTGTCATTTAGGGTGGGGGCTAGTGGAGCCCCACTCCCTTTGAGCACTGTAAGAATGTGGCCTCTGGACAACATTTCTGGCTCTGTCTGGACTGGCCAGATCCCTGTGGCTGCTCTTGGCTCTCAACTGGTTTAGGGGGTCTTTCCTGGGCTCTTCCCCCTCTTCCTGCACTCCGGGACGGCCCCCAAGACACAGGGCCTGCAAGAGGGTCTTCCTAAGGGGACTCTGGGGTCCTTGAACAGAATAGAGACGCCTGGGGGCTCCAAACCCCCAGAATGAGACCATTATGGAGTTGGGGAGGGGGCAGCCTTAGAACCTGCTGGCGTATCCCCCCACCCCCCCATGTCCAGTTTTCCTGGGGCAAAACTTTGGTTGCCGTTTCTATCAGGCGTGGCAAAACAACGCCCTGGGGGTTAAGAAGTGACCGTCTCGGTGGCTGTGTCGGCCAGGAGCTGCCTCTGTCCCGGGGATCCCCCCATTTCTCCCGAAGACACCTCGAGGGGGTCAGCCCCCCTGAGCTCCTCCTGGGCGGGGCCTTCTCCCGTGCCGGCTTCCTGCTGGCTCAGGGTTGCCAGCTTCTGCTGGTGGAGCTCAGCTTCTTGCTTCTTCTTCGGCAGCCGGCTTCGGCATTCTGCCGCTTGGGGATCGGCCTCTTGCAAAGCTTCTTTGGCGTGGCCATCCTAGGGGGAAAAGTCAGGGCTTTCATCACTGTGGGGAGGGGAGAAGGGGGGGAAACATTCTGCAAAGAGGGAGGAGGTGGGCCCTGCAGGGAGCACGTTGCACAAACACCTGAATTTACGAAGGAAGGCGGCTTGCCTTGGTTTTTTCTAAACAACAGATTCACCGTTGGGATTCCTTAAGCTATGAATCCTGGTTAACAAACCTGAAAGGGCTGGATTTGCACTACGGGGAAAACCGGAAACAAGCCGACTACCTGGGGTAGTTGAAGGCGTCATCTCAACCCACAACCAAGCCTCCTGAATCTCAAATTGGCCCCTTTGTCTTCTCCAGCTTTGCGTATCTGGCGGTCTGGATTATCCGACGTTGGGGAAGACGGGAGCAGAAGTCCAGCACTTTTGGGAGGGCACCAATTCGGAACGTAGGTGTGCAAAGGGGAGGGGTTGTTCTTACCTCTCTCCCTTCCTCCTCCTTTCCATCCCCCGCTGGTTTCATTTTGACTTTCTTGGCGGGCGGCTTCTCTGCTTCAGCCACGTGGTTATTCTCGCTCAGGGTCTCGAGGCCGCCTCCCGCCTCCTGACCAGCAGGCACAATCAGAACTGAAAATTAAGGCGGGGCAGAGGAGAAAAAGGGAGACAATAAAATACAGAGGGTCAGTAGAGAAATTTAGTAGAACAGGGAGGGATTGGGATGCCATGCAGGCAGGTAAAATAGGTGGGAGAATTACAACCAGGATAATATTTTTAAAAAAAATAAATTCCAGTCCTCCGCTCAGATTTTGAGAAGGGCAGAATCAGAAGGCTGGCTGGCACCAAAATAAAAATAAAGCCAGTGACAAAAACAATGCTTAATGATATTCTTCTTCTGGCCATCTTCCCAGCATTCAGCCTCAAACACCACAACTCCCATCGGCCCCAGGCTTATGGGTATGGTAGTCCAGACACTTGGGTAACCTTAATCAAGGAAGGCTGTTTGGCAGGACCTCCCCAGAGGCCCCTTACCTTCCTGTTCCTTCTGCATCACTACAATGAACTGTTGTCCCAGGTGAGCGGCCGGCAGATGACCCAGAGGGACGCCCTCGGTCACAAGTGTGAGGACGTCCTGGCCGCTACCGACCGCCTGCCGGAGGGAAGCGTCGGCTGATAGAGTTTCCACAATGTCTCCTGAGACAGCTGCAACGATGGAGGAGGAAGCCTTTAAACCAGTGTAAAATGGAGATTCTAAAGATTCACCCAAAATTAAGGCTCTGCTGGACGTTTCTAGAAAAATGGCAGTTTTTGCTTTTTTAAAAAATAAAATAAAATAAAGATGTCTTGCTCTCCTGGTGGAAATAAAGCACAAGTGATTTGCGGGAAATTTAAGGTTTCTTCCCTTAATTACGAATGGAAAACTGCGTCATTCTAAATCTTGTTTCTCAGCCCTGACAACTCTAAGACATGTGGACTTCAGGCTGGCTGGGGGATTCTGGGAGTTCATGTCTTAAATTTGCTGAGGTTGGGAAACGCTGCCCTAAAAACTCGACGCTCTTCTTGTTTCAGACCTGACTTGCAAAATTTCTAAAAAGAAAAAAAAAAGCCTTTTGTGTCCAACTGCAACCCACCCATGTCAACACTCCCTCTGCCAGCCTGAATGGCCCCTTTGAACCCACCAGGAATTTGGTTAGCACTGGAAAGGGGGCCAGAGGCCTCTGCGATGGCCGCCAGGGTAGCGAGGACAGAGGTGGCCGAGTCTAGAAACTGCCCCGTGGAAACAGTGGAATCTCCTATGCAGCGAAGAGAGAGAGAGAGAGAGAGAGAGAGAGTCAAAACATGAAAATTCTCCAGAAGGAGATGGCCCTCTTAATCCCTCTTAACGAGGCGGACCCCTATTCCTGCCCCTTAGCAAGGGTTGGAGGGAGGGATTATGCTCCAGCCTGAGGTTGCTTTGGTATCCACTGAAGAAACGAGGCTGGCCAGGTTCAGCAATTCTCCGGAAACCAGAATGAAGGGCTGGGTCACCGTCACAGAGCCTGGGACATCATGCAGCCTCTCGGGGTTGGCGGTGACCGGATTCTGCATCGCTTCCTGGAAAAGAGAAAGCCTTGGGGGCTTCATGGAGCCAGGCCAAAAACAGCTCTTGGCTGCCAGAGCAGAGAGCCACAGTGGAAACAACTCAAATAAGTACCCAAGTCCAGTGTCCTCATGTGTCCTGCGCAATTAAAGCCAGAATCCCAAAGATTCAGCCCCAAATGACAACTAAACCACTTTTGAGGGACACTCAAAAGACCCAAAGCTGGGATTTCGGCCCACCTGCAGCAGCAACAGAGTTTCGGGATTGTTCTTGTCCAAAGCGATGTCGAAAGCGGACTTGCCAAATTTGCTGAAGGCGTGGACGTCTGCCCCGTGTTTGAGAAGCAGCTCGATGACATCTCGGTGGTTGTGTTCGGTGGCCCAGTGCAGGGCGGTCATCTTCAGCATGTCCTTGGCATTCACGTTGGCGCCGTTCTGGACAGGGAGACACCGCCAAGCGGTTGAAAACCGTTTGGGCAGGGCGTGGAGAAGCCTCGGCCTGTTTATGGGGCCTATAAGGAAACCCGGAAGGCCACCCAAAGCGCCTGCTTACCCTGACCAGCAGCTCGACAACGTGGCAGTGACCATCTGCAGCCGCCATATGGAGGGGCGTCCGGTTCACCTTGGTCCGAGCATCTCGACTCACTCCGGCCCGGAGCAGGACTTCAGCCGTCGAATAATGGCCGTGCCGAGCAGCGAGATGAAGGGCCGATATTCCCAGCTGTTGGACAATTAAGCAGGAAGATTATTATCCTTGGCTGCCCTCCGTTCCTTCGCGAAGCCATGATGAGTTTCTCTGTCTTCATCTCCTTCTTCCGTAGAGGGAGGACTCCACTTGAGATAAACTTTTTCCATCTCTAACTCTTGAAATAGACAGTCCTGCTGTCCCCGCCTGACCTTCCTCCCCACCTTGGTGGCTTTCCCACCCTGGACTTACCCAGTCAGTGGTGAAGGGGGCTCCGTTGGCCATCAGCAGCCTGACTTCATCATCCTGGCCTTGGCGGGCCGCTTCCAGGAGCTTCTTCCCCAGGTCCACCAGTGACATCTTTATACAGGGGAACAGATGATTTCAAACATCTGGGGGGAGAGAAATCTCACTGGTTTGGACAGGGTGGGGTGGGGGAGGAGGTCAGCGGTGGGTCTGAATGCCCTCCTGCCTCCCTTTTAGGGCCTGGCTCTACTCACAGCTGGAAAGAGGCGCCTGGGCCATTGTGTTCCTCGCCTGGCGTCCTTCCCTCTGCAAAATCTTAGCAAGAAAGACAAGCTTGGCTTTAACCCTCGGACATTGCGGTTGCTCCATCGCTGGAGGTTTTAATAAGAGATTGGACAGCCATTTGTCCGGAATGGGAGAGGGTATAGGGCAGGGGTGTCCAGTTGGGCCAGAAGATCTCCAAGGCCCCTTCCAACTCTGTTCCTCTGTTAACCTCAACCCAGGAGGGGAATTAAGGGGACGTAGCAAGGATGAGCCCAGCCAAGGAGCGGGACGGGGGGGTGGGAGCTGTGCCACTCTAAAGGGAGGGCCACTGGGGATGATGGGAGCCGCAGCCTTTGCGGCTCTGCTGGTCGGTGGATGATGGGAAGTGCAGTAGAAAAGCTCTGGAACCCAAAAGAAGAGGAGCAGGGCAGTGCAACCCAGGCAATGGGCGTTGTAGTCCAGCCCTCGGGGTGAGCGGGGGGGGGGGTCCTTTTCCTCCAGGCCCCGTTAATCCCACCCCCAGACCAGGACTCACCCTGGGGGTGGGGGTGGGGGGCTCCCCGTGTCCTGATCAGCCTCTTTTGGAAAGTTCTTCGCGCTCCGGAAGGAACGGCGATAGGAGGGGGGGCTGTTTTCAAACGGACGAGCCGCTCCCCCCAACGGGAGAAAAAAAAAGGCACACCCGGAAGTATCTCTGATGGGGGAACCTTTAGGGTGTGACACACACAGCCTCGCTCTTCCGGCAACGGAAAGGAAATAGGTTCGGCGCGGGTGAGGATGCTCTGCCCTTCCACCTCTCTATGGTAAGGGCGAGGCCGTTCTAACCCTCCCTGAATGGAGGCGCTCTCTCCCTCCGCATCTCTATGGTCAGACGCTTCCTGCAGAATCATCAGTAATGCCCAGAATGGCATTAAAAATGTCCATCTTGGTGTGTGTGTTGATTTTATGGGGGGGGGGGGGCGCAAAACCATCATCCTGGATCCCCACTCCAATGAAGCCCCTCCCCCCCAAGTGTTGGACTCTGAGTCCCATCTTCCCCAGCCGTGTGCACTGCAGCATTAGATCAGGGACGCCCACTGGATATGACCCTTTTCGAAATTGAACCCTTGGAAAAGGGTTTGGACTACTGCACCCATGTTCCCTAGCCGCCCCCCCTGCTCAGGACTGCCTGACATGCCCCCATCCTGGATGGCAGCCCTTCTGGTCGTTCCCCCCTCCCTCCCAAAGCCCAAGTGGGCACAATCCCAGATGCAACACGCCGACGATGTCACATGCGGAGAATATGAATGCGTGGATGAGCTGTGGTGACACGTGTGTGTCAGAGACCCAAAGGACCCACGGAAAATCCATGCTTAGGGCTGGATCGGAGGCCGGGGGCTTCACAGTTGCCTCTTTCTGGTGGTCCTTTGGATTTGGACCTGACCCTGGGTTTAAAACAGAGCTGGGTTTTGAGCAATTGCTCAGAGAGGAATTGTGTGAGTCCTGTCCATTGACTTCCCCATCTCTGGAGAAGGAAATAAACAAAGCACCATTGGTCTCCCAACTCATCCCTGTACCCCGAGCCGGGACCGTTTCCAGAGCCTCTGTATACCCTCGAGCAATTGGACCTGAACGGAATGATTCGGTTTCGCATCCATCGGCCCTTTTTTCACTTCTCTGTTTTACAGAAGATATAAACGGTTCTCCCTTCCAGGATCCATCTTAAAAAAAAACTTTTTCCCCAACTCCTGATGTTTTAAGCTCCCGCCAGCATTCAGTCCACCAGCTGTGAAAGTGAGGGAGCCCGTAGATGCCCACATGTGCCGACTTGTGGGGGGGGGGGATGATACTTTGCTATCCTTCAGATCCCTGTGAAAAGAATACCAGACCCTCCACTGCCATATTTTAATCGGATCTCTTCCTTTGCCCCACAACAGGAACAGCCCTATTTTCTTCTATGCAGCATCCCTCCAATTTTTTATTCCTTGCCATTTCCTTCCTTTCCCAGGAAAAATAAGGGGGGGGGGGGTTGTACAAAACTTACCCCCACTCAAACAAGCCTCTCAATCTGGGATTCTTTTAAAGCGAAAATTGTGCATCTCCTGCTGGCAAGAGATTTTCGGTCAAAGGAAAATAATAATAATAACCGAACGAGCCAAATCTTTGCAGGATGGATTTGGGCGCAACGTCGCCAGTTGCTAACCCACCGGTGGCTGATCAGTCCCACATGCACAGAAAGGGAGATTTTTCTTTATTCATTTATTTTTTAATTCCTTCTCCTAGTCCTCCTGGACCCTGGCAGATCTGGGGGGCTCTGGGGGAGGGGGTGGAGAGATACAGTATTTTAGCAAATACACTCATACCACTTTAGTTTTATGGCAAGTGATTCAGACACATGAGCGCGCGAACACGGCACAGAGGAACCACAGAGAAGTTTGGGAAGGGAGTAAACACCACCAGGAAAGATGCAGTTGGGGGTATAATTTAAAAAAGAAGAAGAAGATTCGCGGCTTCCGCCAGGCTGCCAGGCTTCAGAGGAGGTCGAAATCTACAGGGCTGATGCTTGCGATGGGGGCTCTCCAGAAGTTGAAACTGCTGAAGGGGAGCAAGGCCCCCTCCGCGTCTTCCGGCTCCCCCAGGCTTGGCTTCTGGCTCTTCTGCTCGGACACGAGGCTGCCGAGGCCCCGTTTGGGCTTGAAGAGGGCGAGGTCGGCCAGTCCCAGGCACTCCAGTTCAGAAAGGTCCAGTTCAGGTATGGGCATTCTCCAGTAAAGGAAGGAATCGTACTGGGAGGTGATGGTGTCCCTCATTTCTTCCTGGGGGTGAAGAACAGGGAAGAGGCAACAAAGGTGGTCTTAACGCGTTTTTGAGACTTTCATGGTATAACACAGGCAAGTCCTCGACTTGCAATGACAGCTAAATTTATGAGGCAGTTGGTAAGCGAGCTTTGCCCCATTTTAACAGCCTTCCTTGCCGTGGTTCTTAAGTGAATCACTGCAGTTCTTAAGTGAGTCACATGATTTTGAAATGAATCTGGCTTCCCTCCCCCTGTCAGAAGGTTGACCTTCCCTCCCCGGGACTCTGCGCCTGCCATAAATACGAGTCAGTGGCCAAGCCTCTGAATTTTGATCATGGGGTCATGAGGATGCTGCAACGGTCGTTAAGTATGAAAAATGGCCATAAAATGGTTGTAATGTTGGTCACTAAATGAACTCTTGTCAAGTCGAGGTTTGCTTGTATCTGTTTCTGAATTGTGAGCTGCCCACCCACCTTCCTTCCTTGCCTCTTTTCGGTGGTCCCTGCCATGGGCTCAGTGACAGATTTTTCTGCAATAATTATTCCCCTCTTCCCTTGCACATGTGTGCATCCCCCTCCCCCTCCCCTCCCCATACAGGCCTGTTTCTTTGGAGTGGCTGCTTTGCCAGCCTGGTTGCCTTCTGCCCCCTCCCCTTTTTTTGCCAATTCCCCAGGGGACCCTCTCCACTGCCATCTCTTCCCCCTCCCTCTTCCTTTCCTCCATCAGACCCTTTTAAAATGCCCAGCCATCCTCTCTCTGGTCCTTAATGAAGGCTTTGCCAATCCAGTCCAGGCTGGGTTTATTTTACTCGGTGGCGCGTATGAAATTACTTAGACATCTGTCCTCTTTAAATATAGCATCTTCAGCAGCCTGTTCGGAAGGAGAGATATTTGCCTCTCTCTATTTGTGTGCTGGAAACATTTTTAGAGACTTATTTTAACCCTCCTGGAGGTAGAGAGATGGTTGAATGACTTGGCAATATTAAAAAAAGGAAGACATGTGCCCAATAAACAGAAAAGAGGCTGGGAATGGTTAAAATTCTGAATCCCCTCTCCTTTGGGGGTAGGTGGGACTGAATTCCCCCAACTGATTTTAGAGAGGGAAAAACCAAGACAAGGAGCCCGTGAAAAGGACGGAGGTTTGGGGTTTTAAAAGATGAATTAAAGGGGCTCGTGTCACCATCAGATTTGTTTTATCTTCCAGCCTCTGAAATTGACAAGATGGAAGAAAATGGCATTTTCTTTTTTTTTTTAAAGAATGTTTATTCTGAATCCTTGAAACATCATAGTATATAGAATTGTGTGACATAACACAGTTTTACAAGGGCTTCAGCTATAAGGTTGCAAAGTAATAGGAAAATGACATGAAATTATATATTACATTGTGTCCGGGTTTTCTGGATCTATAGTAATTTAGAAAGGAGATAGATAGATAGATAGATAGATAGATAGATAGATAGATAGATAGA